AAACCACTTCAAAACCAAGTCCAAGAACTGTACAAAACCAGTCCTAAACCAGTTCAAACCCAAGTCCAAAAACTGATTAAAACCAGTCCTAAACCAGTTCAAAATCAGTTCCAAAATAGATCAAAACCAGTCCTAAACCAGTTCAAAACCAAGTCCAAGAACTGATCAAAACCACTCCTAAACACCAAGCACCAAGTCTAATATTGTTTCAAATCCAGTCTTGAACCAACTCAATACCAGGTCCAAAATCAATTCCAAAAACAGCTGAAACCCAGTCTTAAACCAGTTCAAAACTAATTCAAAGCCACAGTTCAAAGCCAAGCCTAAAATCTGCTGAAAACTCATACAAAACCAGTCCAATGCAGTACAGAATCAGCTCCAAAATAAGTTCACAACTTTGTCAAAAAAAATGTCAGAAACCAAGTCCCAAACTAATCTCAAAGTAGTCTGACCCCAGCCTAAAATCAGTTCAAAAACATGTGTTGAACTAATCTCAATTCAGTTCAAAAGTCACAGAAAAGCTGTGACTTATCCTCCTTTATCCAGGATGTTGCCTTGAGAAGCTCAGTGCTGATAATACAGCACATCAGACAGAGTAGAAGCTTGTTTAACTTAAACCTCTTTAAAAGGGGAATAAAAAGGGAAGTCTGGATGCTGAGATGACCCAGGAAGGGGGACGATGAATGAGAGTTTTTCTGCAAATGGAGCCTGAATAAGCCAATCAGACCAAAAACCTTCATGATGTTCTCAGTAAACTGGTCAGCCATACTGATGATATCACAGCTGCAGCCTTTATTTATCAAACCTGTAAAAACTGCAGCATAGAACAGCATTTTTCAATATTTTTTTTTAGCATTTCATCATTTAAATAACTCCAGAGTAAAGATTAAAGACTGAATAATGTACGTATTTGTTAGCTGGGAGGAAACAGAGTCATTAAACTCAGTGTGTGTCAGAAGAAACCAGACAGTTTCCCCTGAAAGTGTGTTTTTTTTTCAACTCATTGGTGCTTCAGATCAGGTAAAAGCCGGTGTCGACGGTGAATTTGGATTTGTGAGGCGGAGCGGCGGTGAAGCGGGTCGATACCTGAGCTTTGATGTCTCTGTGGAGGATCTTCCTGTCGTGGATGTGTTTGAGGCCCAGGCAGATCTGAACGAACCAGGCCACGATCTGACAAACAAGTGTTCAGATTTACAAACAGAGACACAGAAAAAAAAGTCCCAAATAAATTAGAATTCTCAGTCAATACTACGAGTAAGGACAAGTTGAGCTCAGGTGTAGGTTTATGTTTGGGTTTAGTTTAGGTTAGGATAAGGTTAGGTTTAAGTTAAAGAAGGGTAGGGATAGATTTAGGTTAAAGTGGCTAAAATGAGTAAGAATCCAATCTTGTGCATCTCCAGTGCTTCAGCCATGTGTTACCTGATCCTCTGTGAAGGGATTTCCTCTCTGCATGTGGATCTTCTTCATCAGATCTCCTCCGTCGCAGAACTCCATGACGATGTACAGGCTGCCTCTCTCTGAACACACACCCAGGAAACACCTCAACAGTTACACTCGCCGACGAAAGACACCGACGCTCACTGGCTCACCTTGAAATGAGCCGATGAAGCCGACGATGTTCGGGTGTTTCATCTTGGACAGCAGCGTCGCCTCCTTCTTGGACGCTTCCTTTTCCCTCGCCGACATCTGAGCAGCAAACAAACATCAACCTACAACAGCTGGTTGAATTAAATAAGAAACTGTGCAGCATGATATGTTCACTGTATGGCAAAAAATTATTAGCATTTCTTTTACTTTTTGTTACTTCTTTCTTTTACTATTTTAATCTCGTCTTAGTGGCACTACGTAGCATCTGGTGAAAAACAAGCAAAAAAACAAACTGTGTGGCTCCGAGTTGCACATCAGAAATAAAATGGTGAAATATTAAACATTAAACCAATAATTTTAAAAAAAGGTAAACAATAATTAAACAAACAAACAAACAAAAAAGACTAAACCAGCAACTCTCAGTGCTCTGCAAGGTCAAATTTATCTTATTTTAAAAGGCTTTAAAGTGAGCAATGAAAAGGTAACTTGCAACATAAAGCAGTAAAATATAAGATGTAATAAGATAAAACTTTATTTATCCCCAAGGAAATACTTTTGTCAGACATAAATGCAGTGCTGTATAGACAAGCAACAGGATACAAGTATGAAATGTTATCACAAATGAAAATAACTGAGCTAAAATACAACTAGAATATAAAAGTAATAAGTAAAATTGAAAATGAAACTAAGGTGGTAACGTAATAATGAAATAGTGCACATAAAATTGACATGATATGAAACTGACATACACATGTGTATAAAAATGAAATATTGCACATAATAATGAAATGTAACACACATGATCATAAAACTGATATTACACAAAATAATAATTAAAAATAGATATTCTAAATACAGTGTGCATTTTAAGCAATATTGACTTCTTTTAGGTGTTTGAAAGGCGTTTTGCTGCTGACCCAGTCTACAGCAGCTCATCACTGTTACAGCTAACACATTAGCTTTGGATGAAACAAACCTGCTAAAAATACAAGCTAACCCTCTGATGGACTCATCATAGCAACTCTGCAAAACTGTAGCATAATAGCACAAATACTAGCATTGATATTTATTATGAAATGAAATGAAAAATCCAGTAACATTATCCAGTAACATCCTGTAATACACAGAGTATCCCTGTGAAACAGCCATTCTGCACACCTCATACTAAATACTTAAGTATATTTTGACCCTCATTCTACGTTATTGCATCTCTAGTTTTATTAGAATAAATGATTTCATAGTCTAATTTTTATTATAGAACGTAAACAAAAGAGGGGGAAGAGAGCCGGGATGCTAAGCTAAAGGCTAACACCTCCAGATCAGCAGGACCGTCCTCCTGCTCTCCAATGTCCGCTCCCTCCACAACAAGCTGGACGAGCTACGGTTCCTGAGAGAAACCCACAGAGAGTGGAGGGACTGCTGTGTGTCTGCTTTAACAGAAACATGGCTCCATGACAGCATCCCAGACGGACATACAGCTGGAGGAGACGACATCGTGGACAGACAGACAGCTAGGTCTGAAGTTCTCCAGAGCCGCTGCAGGAGCAGGACCCTGAACATTGTCAAGGACTTCTCACACACTCTCCATCAACTGTTTGGACTGCTGCCATCAGGAAAACTGAAGGAAGAACCTCCAGACTGCTCAACAGCTTCATTCCACAAGCCGTCAGGACGCTGAACCGCTGATCCAGATATGCAAACACTTCTTTATTTAATTGCTTTTAGGTTTTGGAACCTGAAGAAACGCTCTCTCATATTGTTTGTACTACCGTTGTATATACAGCAAAATGACAATAAATTTGATTTGATTTATTTTATGGTCTTTACAGTCTGTAAAAACAGACGTCTGCAGCTGTTTTAAACGAGTTGTCATGTACTGTATGTATTTCATGTATTTATGCCTTGTTGTGTTTCTATATTATTTATTATATTTTTGTGTTGTATTGATGTAACCCTTGTTGCTGCCCTCTTGGGCTCCCTTGCAAAAGAGATGTCAATCTCAATGGGACTCACCTGGTTAAATAAAGGTTAAATAAATAATATTATCCATCTCCACCTGCAGCACAAATAGCAACCCCAGTTTAGGTTTTATCTCATGAAGAGCCACAGAAACGTACAAATATATGCCCAACTGTAGAGACAGCATATCCAGGATGTGCATTAATTGCAGAATATAATTTTTGTGACGCGTCGTACCTTCCTGAGGCTGATCTGTTTGACCACACACTGCGCTCCTCCACCTTTGTCTCGGACCAGGAAAGCTTTTCCAAACGCACCTTCCCCGATCTGACGGACGACCTCGTAGTTGTTCATAACACCTGGAAGAGCTGCGACGATCCCCAGGAGAACATTTTACACAGAAAATATGAAACACAGGAAACGTCTGAGCTGCTGTAACAGAAACTCAATGAGGCTGAACAATGTGTTTTATTAGACCATCATTATTTTGGTGATTTTTATTGATTTCGACACTGGCCGAATGGTTTTTCAGTCTAGTGCTTGTGTTCATGAAACTTTGGAAAACAGTGAAAAATACTCTTTGCATCATCATGACATACACAAATTTCTTGTTTTGACTAAACAACAGTCCAAAAACCTCAAATTAATCAGCGTAAAATTACATTAAAGAGAAAAGTATATGTTCCTATATCTGTGAAGCTGGAAAAATCAAATATTTTGGCTTTTTTTTGCTTGTAAAATTAATCAAAACAACTGATTAATTACCAAAATGTTGATTATTTCCTGTTAGTTTTTTGACTGATTGATTCAGACAGGAAACATAGAGGAGAGTGGAGGGACAAGAAAATGTAAATTTTCAAAGATTAAGTGAATTAAGTCCTAAATATTGAGATGTTTATTGAAGCAAAAGTTGTTTTTTCAAGTCTGTACTGAGCAGAAAAATATACTCAATTTAAGATCACAAGATTTCACCACTGGCTTACTTTACAGGTTTTCCAGTTTCTTAATTGTGACGATTTGCTGCTTTTATGTCAATATCGTATTTTTGGATTTTAGGCAGGCGGTAGAATTTTAAAAACCAGCTTCTCCTGGGTATTATTCACTTTTTTTTTAATCATGATTATTATTATTACTGTAATTGTTTTTCTATGGCACCACATTAAAAAGATGGAATAATCATGAGTTGCCACCTAATTGCATTCTTTGACAGTAGCAGGTAAATTAGATCAGCATTATTCAGTCCAGTTAAGTCTTTAGTATTTATATAGTGCATTTAAAACAAGACATATGAAGTGCTTTCTAATGGAGAAATAAGACGGACATTACAAAATTACCAAACGAGTTTAAATAATAAAGTTTAGAGACCCTACAATATTATGTAATGTACAAACTAACCTGACTCCCTTAAATACTAAAACTCTACAAATTAACTTAACTAGTTTAAACATTGAGGATGACAACCAGCAACATGATATATAACACAAATTACGCTTTTTTTTTCTTTTTTTTTTTAAATTGTTAAATGTAACACAAATTAACCAGACAAACGTGCTTATTAAGGTTCAGACCCTACAAGGCTACACATAATACAGCTGAACCCGATCAGTTTGAATAAAAAGGTTATTTTAAGTATTATATATACAGGAATATATCCTATATAGGTGTATATATTAACAAATGTACACAATTTATCTAAATATTAAGGTAAGGATGTATAATATCATATTAGAAAATATTATATTATTTCTGCTGTTATGTAGAATAAACGTTATATTAACTGATTAACCTAAACATAAAGGCTCAGACGCTACAATATTATACGTGTTAACCAGACTTGTACGTGTACTATTATACACTGCACCAAAGTACCTGAGTAAATAAAAATTTAAGGTCAAGACCCTATAAAATAATAAATAGGAATCCAAACATCTTCAGCATTTTCAACATTTAAACTACGTCTAAAAACGTCTTCAGTCTTTTCAGCAACAAGTCAAGTCGACTGGTGAACAGGCCCGTTGCCATGGAGACGGAAACACAGCTAGCTGCTAAGTTAGCATGCTAACATAAGTTCACCGTCGATACACAAAACTCTGTTTCCCCTCTTCCCACTGTCAGATAAACGTCTTTACTTACACTTTTAAAAACGACAGTAGAAGTCTCAGGGTGGAAAAAAAACGGCGGTGACGAGTTATAAAGTCGAAAGACGTAAAAGTGTCTGAAGTCCAGTTTGGGGGAAAAAGCGTTGAACTACGGCGAGCGAGGAGGAAGACGAGGGGGATGCTGGGAGTTGTAGTTCTTTTAAACTAACGCACGAGGAAAAGCGGCACTTTTAACAGCAGGACATCAGTGGGTTTTTATTAATAATCCCCAAAACACGAAAAAAAAAAAGCTCTTGAGTTTTTTTTTTTTATTTAATAATGAATTTCGACTTACAAAAAAATATTAAATTAAGGTGAAATAATGTAATAATTTATAAACATTAAGCTTCAGGTTCAGATTTGTTGTTTAACACACAGTCAACTTTGAAATGTTTTGGACAAGAAGAACCAAACAATTCTCTATTTGCAACACTAGAAAACCTCAAAACGCCAGAGGGACAGTAAATGCAAAATATTGTCAAAAGTACAAAAACAAAAAACAGGAAAAATATAAACATTAAGCTAGAATATGTGGATATTAACACAATGAATAAGTCTATTTGTTTATTTCCGTTCTTGTTTCAGTAACTTTCTCAATGCCAACTGTTCCAGGTTCTCGGATGTGATGGATTTCTGTTTTTCTGCATTTTAATTCATTCCAACCTGAATTTATTTGGATTTTGAATCATCAGTCGCACAAAATAAGATATTTAAAGAAACCTTGAGTTTTAGGAGATTATTAGTCATTTTTATTTGTTTTTTTTCCTCACAGGTAAAACTATAATTGACAGCTCATTTTCAAGGAATACAGTTTTTATGACTTGAAGTTATAGCACTGACAAAAGGAATTTGTAGTAATTTGTTAATGGTGAAAATGTGTTTTTTTTTTTAAATTTCAAAACAACCGCAGAACTCCTAAATGTCTAAGTTTACTAATTTGTGGCTTACAAAATGTTTTTTGGTTGATTTAAACTTGCACCAAGTTAATTTTCACATTTTGTCTACAGCATTAAACACACACTCCACCCAATGTAACGACGACAAGACGAGTTTAAGACTAAAAACTTGAGGAGGACCGCGAGTCTTTCACCTGTCCAGCCTGTAATCAGAGCTGAGGGCTTCGCAGCGACTGCAAAGAAGACGTTCCTTATTTAAATCTTTAGCATAGCAGCACAGTGCTTTATTCCCAGTCACAGATCATGTTGCTGTTGTCAGATTTTAGCCATCACACCCCAGAATGATATGCCAGGCAGCCATTATACGAGTGTATGTGTGTAGGTATATATACTACAGTGTAAAGCGTACAGTGTGTATATATGGATTTTGTAGCTTCGTCTTCCGTTGGGAATAAACTTGGCCTTCAAGACCAATGTCACAAACTGGACCGTGCAGAAAGTTAAAGTGTATATTTATAGTTGCTGGAGAGTTTCCCTTCAAACATCTCTTCCAATAAGAGAATGAATTCAAGAAGTATAATAGCACAATATAACAAAGTATAATAATGTGTAGAATGAATACAAGCATCACAGTTCACTTGGACACAAATGGAGAAAGTGTGTCAACTTGTGTTCTACTTGTATCAGGTTGTTTTTGTGGTCACACCTGCTTCAATGAGTAACAAAAGTTCAATGATAATAACTTTTTCTTTTTTGTGATCAATTATTTCTTATTAAAACATTTTCTACAGGACACATGTTCCATGTTACTGTGACATGAAGCTACATGTGGTTCTGAAACATCACTTTTTTTTTTGTTAACATGAGCTTAACAAGAGAACCTCTCACAGTGGCTCCATTTTTCGTTTCATATTCCAGCTCACCCCGTTATCAGAGACTGTTTTACATTCTGAATCGATGACCTGATGATGAATGATAGTGAATTCCAGGCTTTCATCTTAAATAGTTGCTGACATCATGTTGTTGCTGTTCTAACACAGCTTCAAATTTCAATGTACTAAAAAAAAAAACAAGGTGCTAAAAGTGGGCTGTCGGGCAATTTTTATCTCCAAAGGTGTTTAATATATCGAGCTAGAATTTCACACGTATATTTATAAATATCCACAATTCGTGCTAAAAGTATTTCAGGCAGAAATTGTTCTAAAATTGTGATGCTTTACAATGGAATGAGCCGTACATGGTCTCTACAAACTGTATGTAAACTTAAGTCCTCAACTATATACACGTGGACTCATGTATTTCAAATTGTGCTGAAGTTGACATATTCTGTTAAAGTACATTTATCTGAGGCGCCACACTGAGCGTTAACGCTGCTCTTCAGGAAACCGGCTTCATTCCATACCAGTGATGCTAAAAGAAGCTTCATGTGATCTGTGTTCCAGCAATTAAAAAACAAAAGCTACTCAGAGGTCCTTAAGGCCAAAAAAAGTTACATATTTGTATAATTTTTCACTTTCAGTGACTTAAAAAAAAAAATCTACATCAGTCCTGATCATGACTAATAAATATTCATTCATTATTAGGATTTTAACCCTTTAACTGTTAAGTTTGTTTACGTGATGCAACAGATGTTTTTTATTTTTTCAATGAAAAACAAAATATAAAATCAGTGAAATGATTGTTTTCTATATGATAAGTGCTAAGTGGAATATTTTTGTTTTACAAATTACAGTCTGGGATGCGTCAATGAGAAGCACCAACATCATTTTTTAAGCATTATCACTGTTTTTATGCAGTTTTTCTTTTTTTAAATAAGACACACTCTGGATATTTAAGTCAAAAATGTCCTCATCAAAAAACACGTAAGAAATTTATATAATATTACATATATTATTGTGTTTGTTATGAATATTTTGATGTTTATTGTTGTTGTTGTTGTTGTTGATGCTTTTTGTAATTTAAGCTTTTAGTAAACGTATTTCTTTGGGTAAACGGGGCAGATATCTTAAGATTATTCTTCTTTCTGCTCACTTTCATTCAGGAGTCAGGAATGTTTGTGTCAGGATTGTTTTAACGCAATGAATGAGAGAAAATTAAAAGAAAAAATAAGAATACCGATATTTTCTGTTTTTAATGAGTCATTTTGTTTCATCACCATCAATCCTGATCATAAATACGAAATAGTCATTCATTATTTTTTGGGATTTTAACCCTTTGTTTACCTGATGCCATTGTTGGTTTTTTGAGAAAAAGAAATCTACATAATAAATGCCAGGATGTATTGATTCTGGTGCATTTTTATTGATTATTCAGAAAAATCGTCAAACAGACCTGCCTTTAAGTGCAGCAGCTGCAGCCTGACGTCAGTAAAAAGCAAATCTGGAATTGATCAACCAAGGCTGGAGGTTTGGTACATAAAGACAAACAACATTCTCTGAAGGGCTAATTGGCTCATTTAATTCTCATAATGTAGACGTTCTCCCGACGTCCCAGTGAGCTGCTTTGGAACAAACCTCCTCTCAGGTCCTTCAAGGTGACCCTCCATCCACCCGCCGAACATCTGGCACATTTCCCATAATCCCCCAGTGCGTCTGATGAGCGCTTTAATCACGGACAAATTTCCACTGCGATCGTATGACACGGCGACCGCGACAGCTGATCCGGTGTCGGTCCTCCGAGGCCGCGTGTGATGACACGGAAACCACACGGCGGACCGCCGGTAGCTTCACGACCACGTCGAGTAAATGATGAGATCAGAAGGAAAAAAAAACAGACAACAAGGAGGCTGATTTTGTTTTTTTTTTAATTGTGTTGGTCTTTTCATATCTTTAAAGAGATTATATACACAAATTAGTACAACAAGAAGAGTTATCCAAAAAAAAAATTACACATTCAACAAAAGGACAGACAACCCTCGAGAAAAAGATTTTAACACAAGTGCGTTTTCGTGTGAGCTCTCTCTGTTCTTATTGTAAATGCTCCTTTTGTTTTTCCTAATTTTTTATTATTTCATTTATTTATTTATATTTAAAGCTAAAGGAGAGAAGCACACCTCCACGCTCTCACTTTAAGATCGTTCTCCAGCTGAGAAACAACAGGCGCAGTGTATTAATAGCTACAGCAGACAAAAATACAAAAAAAAAAAAAAGTCTCCCTGGACTGAGGAGTTTCAAAAACCAGGACGAGTGGTACAAAAGTTGCCCTTTTTCTTTAAAGTCTTATATTTGAACTGACAGATAGGCAAACAGTACATTTACCTGCGTCTATTAAAATAAATGCCCATGCTACTCTTGCAGTTACTTTGATTAAAATAATTTACGATTGGATACTCAGCTGACTTTTATCTAGTTATTTGCTGAAAAGATTCCCAGAAGTTCCCCCGTACAGAAAGTGGAAAAATACACGACTCTTTGCCTTTTTTCTTTTTTTTTTGCTTGTTTGTTTTTTTTTTTTTCACAATCAATGAATATTTACCAAACAGCTTCACATTTCACTCCTCTCACTCACTCAAACTACCTGAAGGAAAGGAAAAAAAAAAAAAAAAAAAAAAAGACAGGTGAGGATTAAAAACACAATCTCACTGCACGCCAGTGACTTTAAGAGCAGTTGTGAGACGACGAGGCGCCTTAAGGCTCACAGATCAGAGTTTCCACCACAAACTTGTTCTCGAAGTGACGGATCTTGTGGCAGTTCAGAGCTTCACGCTTCTGCATACCTGCGAGACAACCACAGATTATTTTTACAACTTGTGTCAATGAATGCTGTTGAACTACAAATAAACTTGCTGTGCCTGTAAGTCCCTCTGAGGGATTAAAAACCCAACGGTGCTGCTTTTAGCCACCTGTGACGTGATGATGCTGAAAATATTCCATGTTTTTGTTTGTAAAAAACAAAAGCCACAATGATTTATCTAAACACTACGAGCAAAGACATGCTTTCACTCTGAATCTTTTTTGTACTCGCTGTTAACCAAAAAATAAAAACTACTAAAGTTTTTATTTGCCTCCATCTTTTCTTCCAACAAAACCAGAAATTGATTTTTATTTTTTAAATTTACAAAGACGGAAGAAAACCCAGAAAATTTGTGCAGCAAATCACATCTTATTTCCACTCGTTTGTCATCAGTGTTCTGGTTTCTGTCCCTGTTGGTGCACCGTGTTGTGTTTTTATGTTGATGCACTTACCCAGAATTCTGTCTCTGCGCTGCAGCTTGTAGGTCTCTTTGCCCAGGCAGAGGTTGTTGATGAAGTAGCCGAGCTGCTCGACGTGCTCCAGGCGCTCGGTCACCATCATCTCCTCTTGGATCAGGTAGGACTGGGGCAGGTAGGTGCCGGCCTGAGAGAGGAGCGCAGCGACGCAAACAGTCAACAAAAAGAACAGCAGGGTTTTTTCCATCTTTGGCAATTTTGGTCCATGTCTTCGCTCTCTGTCTTCTAGCTGTGGCAGATCCTGATTAATCCTCATCACCACAGGAGCCTGTCTACCGTCAACTCAGCTTAGCAGTGGCTTTTAATTCTGCTCAGTACCAACAAATGCAAGAAAACGAGGTTAAAACGAACTGATGTGAAGCTCAAAGTAGTTCATTCTGGCCCTGCAGTTTCCTTTCTTGCAGAGAATAACACACAAAGATTGTCTGTTAAAGGTGAAGCAGCAGCAAGGAGGTTGGTTAGCCTAGCCTAGCCTAGCTTAGCTTAGCATAAAGACCATAAAAACTACTTCTGCAGAACAGAATCAAATCTAAGTCTGTAACGAGGATCAGCAAAGACGTAATTAACTGTCAGGGCCGCTTGTGACTTCTAAAATTTCAACATCGGTTTTGATTAATGCCGCCTGAAGCCGCCTGATACCTTGATGTTGCCGAGCAGGTCCATGAAGTCTCTGGGAGGCATGACGATGGAGGTGTTGAGCGGGATGACGTAGCACTTGTTCAGACTCAGATCCAGGTAAGCGGTCAGCCTCTGGAGAAAAAAAATAAAAAAGAGAAAAAAAACAAAACATGACTTTTCAAAGCAGCACTTTGTTGACTTTGGATCAACAGCTCAGTTCGTTGTCCGAGAGGAGAAATTGTTGAATAGCTGAAAAAATATTTGATTAAAAAGTTCCAAATGGTACAACTGATAAATGATTAACCTACACGGGTTCTCTAGGTGGAGTCGAGCACATATCAGAGAGAAGCAGCTCTTGATATTAACGTTGAAATATGGCTGAAAGTTGTTGATAAATGTTTGAAATATCTGGCTAAAGGTAGTGGAGTTATGTTGGAGAGAAAAGGAATCGTTACAACATTCAGCTTCTGTCACTGCGAATGCAAACATGACCAAGCTGCACGACAAAGTGACTTCTATAGGACGCTAATAAACATCCAGTTAAAGAGAGGTGGTGTCGATGAAAACGGTTGTAGGTTTGGGATTGATTGACTGCTTCCTACAAGTTATTACGAACTGGGAGCTGAGCTGAGCATTTTTGAAGATATTGTATTGATTCTTTTCAACTGTAAACTATCATCTGTCGGCATCTCTGTAGCTTCACTCGTAACGGTTTTGTGGAACATTTTACTTTCTTAAAAAGTGATTTGGACATTCGGCCACACTGCGGCTAACACTCCAGCTAACTGTTGGTCCCTAACTGGGAGTGACGCCGCGTCCTTCTGGTTTTTCTCACCCGCTGGAAGTCGTGGACGATGTCAGCTGGGTCGCCGTCTTCGAACTCGGGCACCGGTATGTTGATGAGCTCCACCTGCTCCCTCTCCAGAACCCGGATCCGCTCCTCCAGCTGCCGCAGGTGGAACCCGTTTGGCAGCTCCACCTCCACCTGCGAAACCAGTTCACCAACCAGTCGGTCAGATGTTTGGGACACTAGAGCCGCTGAAGCAGGCTCGACTACTCTTTTTGAACATAACCAGCTCTAGGTCTCAAGAGTGTTTTAACAATTTTGTTTGCTAATGAACTGAAAGCAACACACGTGAATAATTAAGGTATACACATGTCTGCATTATGTCTTTATTACATCTATAATTTAAGACGTATTGTGTCTCATCTGCGTCCAGCTGCTGTAACATCAGTACAGTTGATCTTAACCTATAAAATGTACAACTAAACAGCAAGCAGTTCAATAAACGGCCCCAAAAATGTGAAATAAACTTAATTTTCGAGATCACAAAGCCTATAAATTGATATTTGTTTAAGCTGACTTTACAGAAACTCCACCGGTCAGTCAGTGACTCAGATCATCAATGAATCAGTGACTCAGTCTGTAATGATTAGGGCATTAAAAAAATAAAAAAGGCAGAGTTCGTGTCATGTGTACTGAGCGCAAACATTCAAGCTGATAAGCAGCAGGAAGAGACTCTAACGGGCTGATATGTGGTGAGTTTCTGTCGTACCTCGTCCTCCTCCTGGATCATGAAGTCCTCCTCGCGGTAGTTCACCCCGCAGACGAACACCTGGCCTTCCTGCAGGGACGAGAGGCGACGGTGAGGAGGAAGCAACAGAGGATATGAGAAAGGTGTTGAAATGTCTGTCGCTGCCATTAAAACCAAACAGGAGAAAGAAGCACACGAGAAGCGGAACGGACAGCGACGTGGAGCGGGACAGAATGTGGTGGGAAAGCCGGGATGAGGTCATTTTTATCAGAAATCACATAGAAGTGTTCCGATTTGAAACTGGATTTATTAAGATTTCTAGGGAGAACTACACAGTGCCCTGCAATAGATAAACAGATGTGGAACACAGCTGGTAGTAAGTAAGACTGGTCAAAAAGGCATAAACATTTATTGAATGTAGACACTCAGGAGTAAACGGCTATTACAAGAGAGCCCGATACTGAACGAGACATTACAATGGACAGACTCTGGAACCGGAACAGTTTGCTGCCCGCTGGGAGAACTGGGTCACCTCAGCAACACCTCTGAGGCCTGATGTTTGCTTAACTGATAAAGAGACTGTAAAGAATCAGCACCTGTAAGCACATAGTTGTTCATGAATCTGGTTCATCAGTAAGGAAGCATCGTAATCTTTAGCAGCAGCTCTATGAAGCTTGTAAAAATAAAAAGTGTAAAAATACTTTGGTTTTATTCAAACATCTACCAACAAAGTGGGTTGCGAACAAAATACAGACGAAAAACTGCCTCAGATTTGATGAATAATAAAGAAACACGTCGATTTACAGTATTTCTTTTTTGTTTTTTGTTTTACTCCAGGTGACATGATCAGAAGTTTTCTCCTTTACGTTTCTTCTTCATCACAGCTGTTGGTTTTTGTGACTCTGGTATTTTTTTCCATTAATGGTTCAAGTCTTGAGTAGTTTGGGCAAATTAAGCTTTAAAACCAAATAAAATAAAAACATAATATTCTGGAAACACAGAGTCGTCCTAATTCCAAAAGAAGCTGTTTAATTGAAGGAATGTGACTCAGGCCTTGTCCACACACGTAGCTGGGTTTTTATAGAACTGAATGTCCTCCCCCCTACACACCACCTCGTTTTTAGATAAATAACTCATCCACACCGAACCGCATAAGTGTGTTATTGTTAAGCACATTCATAAGCATGCCAGACATTTAGGTGGCAGTAGTTCCCCAAATCCTATCCAATCAGAGTCAGCTTCCGTCTCTCAACGTCGTAAAATAACCGTCCTTAACGTCGTTCTTCGCCTGTGTTCTTGTACGTGGAGCGGCATCTGCGCCTGGACCAGAGACAACACAGGTCTGAGGGCGTCCACGTTGTTTCCAAATGTAAACACAGGTCGTGTATGTGACATAAGAACATATTTTGTCGCAGGCAGTGACGTTTGGAAACCTAAAACCGGTTACTGGCGTCCACATGCAGACGCATTAACGGAGGATTCGCAAATCTTCACTTTGGTCGGAGATCTTTGTAAGAATCATTTTTAATGCCGTAAATCTGCATTTTCGTGTGGCTGACGGGAGAACTCATAGAAAAATATCTTCGTTTTGTGAGATACCTGCTACGTGTGGACGACGCCTCATTTATCCAACAGACATCAACCTTGTCTGTTGAGCTGCAGAGTTTCCGAACCAATTTCTGTTTTGCCTGACTCAATATTACTGCTTACGAATGTGACGCAACTATGAGTTCATGTCTGCCCATCATAAACCGTAGGTGGCGTTTAACAGTTAACACCAACAAAAAAAAAAAACAGCTCACAGCAGCTGACCTGCTCCAACCTGTCTGCTTGTGTCATTTTCCATTTTCTCCTGAAGGCTGTGATCTAGATTTCACACCTTTCCATTACTAATCCTTGAACAGAGAAGCTAATTTATGAGTTGTGTTGAAATCTGTACGATAATATGGGAAAAATCTGGTTTACTGCCAGACGTCACCCTGCAAAGTGTTTATAATTGGGGGTTTGAACACTGTGATTGAAGCTGGCAAATCTAAATCTTCCAGGCCTTTTTTTTCTCCCTCCAATTTGTTGTTTGGGTTTATTGTATATGTAGAAAACACACGTCAATAGATGCAATAAAACAACCATGCATGCAAAAACTGGGCCACAGTACTTCAATGTACACAAACTTGTGTGCTTCACGCGCTGTTTGAGTGTTATTGATCCGACCCAAATACCAACAAATAAATAAAAGCTGTCACAAAGCGGCATCACATGAAATATCAAAGGTACCACACACACGCTAACGTAAACAGGCTGCGTGTGACAGTAGCTCTACCGTTAGCAGCCAGCGCTACTTCTAACCAGCCGCTGTGTTGCCATAGCTAAAAATAAAAATGCTGTTTAAGCTTGTGCTATTTCCAACCACACTGTGTTTTTTACTGGTTATTAAACAAACCTCCAATAAACTACATACTTACAAGTTATTTTCCCATTAAAATGAACCCTTTGTACCTTAAAATAGCCCCTATGTAACTCTATGTCGTTGCTTCTTCTGGAATCTGCAGATCTGTGAACTCCTGCCTCACGGTCAGCGCAGCTCGAGCACACCAGCTCACCTACTTTCCTGCACCGTAAAACTGCTCTACGCTACAGAATGGCATGTTGTGATGTTGGAGTAATTTAGCCATGCAGGTTGAACTGGGAAACTGATTCTAAAGATGAAGAATAATGACAGAGAGCTATCACCTTTACCTCAAACATCTGAATCCGTCGTTTTGAGGCTTTCATGTGCACATGATGTGCTTTTTGGCATCTCGTTAACACCACGTGGACATGGTTTCTCACGGTTAAATAAACTACATTTTGAATTATTTGGGTATTTAAGAAAAACTGACAGGATCGAATCTGTGCAGCATCTTTAGAGGTAACTCTTCACTGTTTTGTATTGGGTCTCTATATTCATTAACCTGCACGTTTTCCTTGAGAAGCCTGTGATGTCGTCTTTTCCTCAAGGCTTCTTCGGTCATTTTTAAGTGGCTAACTCCTCCTAACCTCCAGCGCCTCGGCATGACAAGAAGCAAACATTGAAGCTCTTAAGACGTCCTGCTTTAACACTTTTACTGTTTCTATCCAGAAGCTTTGATATTTGACAAGTCATTAATTTTACCTCTTCGCCTTCCCACCCATGCCGGGCCTGGCTGCTCACCTCCGGGATATAGTAGCGGAACAAGTACACTCCTCCGACCACCACTCCGGACAGCATGAGGGCGAGACCCAGGCACATGCACCAGCACCAGGCCCGGGACTGCTGGCGCACCAGCAGAGCCGCCTCGACATCCTGGGGGAGAAAGAGGGATGATTAGACGTGATCAGGTTTGATTGTTTTTCTACATTCACACGTTCAGTGATCAGAGAGACGAGCGTATGATTAAAATCAAACCCTCCGAGGAGCAGCTTGTGTCTGATTAGTGTGATTAATCGCTGGCTGGTAATTTCCCTACATTCCCCTGTCAGTTTCTAACATTTCAATACTTCAGTTTTTTTTTTTTCTTTGCACTCAAGTTTTAAAGATGAACAAACACAATATGGAGCCAACACATGAGTGCACTTTTGAAAAACAAGGAAGATTTGCTTGAAGTGATGATTGCTGCAAACTATAGGGAAGCGGCTTTCCGGAAACAGGCGACGCAACGGACATAATGTCAGATAGCAACGTAACACACTGATAAATAGCGGAGGAAAACTTCAGATTCAGCAAGTAACAACTGTGCATTACAAAAATACTCCATTGTAAGTAAACGCCGGGCATTAAGACTGTCCCCTGTGAGCATTGCACTACATTATTGAATGCTTATAAATGAACACGGAGGCAGAATTTTTCTGCCATAGCTGGACAAAGTGCAGCTATTTCAACGACTTTATGCACCACCTGGCAATGCAAACAATAAAAATGCACCATATTTAATCATGTCTTCGTTATATAAACTCTTCAAGCTGTTAAATTGAAGTGTTTATTGCCCGGTAAACTTCCGGGGCGCCGCTCAACAAGTACGCATCGCTCTGTTGCTTCGTGTTTCTGTAAATGCTTTTAAAGTGTCTGTTTGTGGTTTTTGTTTGTGAAACTTGAACAAATGAATACATCTATCCATCCAAAGTGCTGTGAAAAACAAGTATAACGCAGACAAAATTGGAAATACTACCATGAGCTGAAGTACCTTTACATTTACTTCACTACGTTCCACACTGTGTTACCTTCAAATTAAAAGACAAAGTAGAAAGTGCTGACTTCAAGCAAAGCAAAATATGAGGTGAAAGCACGGCTTCACTGAGTTTGCAGCTGGATTCAGGTTCAATAAAAGTGTCAATAAAATGGAAACCGACTGTCCTGACCTGAGAACAATGTGCGGCGAGAACCAGATCCCAGCAGCCAGAACCTGCTGGGAGACTGGAAACTCTCCAGAGCCACTAGAAAAAACAAGAGGCCGGGGTGTGACGCGAGGAAGGAGAGAGTGTGTGTTTGCACGCAAATGAAAACAAAGGCTTTCTTTCGATTGGATGAAGGAGGCTCCCCATCCCTGTTTTCAGCCACCGAGCGATGGGGTGACTCATCGCGATGCAAATCAGAGAAGGGAAACGGAGACGAGCTGAAAACGTGAAAAATAACAGGCGTGGTGACAAAGAGGGGAAAACACAGCAAGAGAAAGTGAAACGATGTTTTGGTTGAGGCAAAAATCACTGTGTCTGTCCGTGTGACGCTGAAAACACTGCTGATTATCAGTTTCTTCTCCACATAGACTGTAAATAGGAAATATATATATTATATTTCCTAACAATACAGCTGTTGTGGGTCTGTGGGTAATGCTGACTTTGCAGCTTTTGCCCTTATTGCAAAGATTCAGGAGGGTTGCACAAAACACCAACACTTATCGCGATTGTGCATCAGTCTGATGGAAGCTAAACGCAGAAGGTAGCCTCCTGCAGCGGCCATTTTGCTAACGGCGTTAGCTTGTAAGGACTGTTTCACCCAGCGCTGAATTGGATGTGTGTCAATAAAAGGTTTGGCAGGGGAGCGTTTCATTCCAGTGGTTTATCAAGGAAAATGTGCTACCACTTTGTGCATGGGTTTTGTTTCCATGACAAGAATGTCTTGACAACATATCGCAGATTAGCATCCGCCCTTGTTGTGATAACATCGCTCTGACATATCAGGAAAGACAGACAGAGCGAGCTAACCGGGTTGATGAGTCCCACGTGATTGGCTACCCCTGTTAAAAATTAAGAGATCTTCAAATAAAAACTACACAGAGCAGCTGCACAAAAATGGAAGGAAAAAAAAAAAACAAAACAAGGGGACACCAGTTGCAATGCTTTTTGTTTAGGCCACTACTTAAACTCTGTCCTCTCCAGTACTGAACAAAAAGACACCAGTACACAGAAAACCTCCAGGTGTTTGTGTTGAGGTGAAACGCCATCTCAAGGATAGAAATATTTATCCAAGCTGCAAATTCACAGCTGTGACTACTTTCATCCATGGACACGAACAATGTGCCAAGTCTTGCAGCAACACTTTTCCTGCTTGGAAAGCTGTTGCTCCAAAGGTTTTGCAGTTACAACTTTCCTGAGTGGGTTGCAGGAACACCACCAGTTTCCTAAAGCACATTGTCTTTCAGGACGTCCTGTTGTCTTTCTACCTCTACCCCTCCGGAGTCGTGTCTCCCAGCTGGTTTAGCTTCTGGTCTGCAGATTCTTGCAAACTGAAATGACCAACGAACCTTCCTCATAATGGTCCACGGAGTAATCAACCCTGGCATTCAGCTACTGAGGCTCCAGTCTAACACATGTAAAGAAAATAGCGTGCTTGGATAAATTTATCAGTGATTAGGTTAGCGGGCAGATTGGAAAGTTGTTCCCAATGGAAATCCCCAAAATCCCTTTTTGTTTTTGTTTTGGAAAGCAGCATGAAGTTCGTGTCAATCAACCTGCTAAACATTGTTTTGTGCAACACCTTATTTCCCCAAATATCTGCAACTAATGTGAAGAGCTAGCATGAGCCATAGAGGCACACTTCTGCATGCCAGGCTGAAAAACCTCCTACAACACGACCGCTGCTGTGTTGAATGCGTCTGTCTTCGCACCTGAACGCTCTCCTACGAGCCTGAGATGCTGAGCTGAGAGTGGAAAGGCAGATTATGGGTAAATATTTAACAGTGTAAAGAAAAAAAACTACGTGAGCTTATCAGCAGACAAAAACCAGCCAGTGGACTCTGGCCAGGTGGATAAAAACCTGAGCTTTACTCAGAACAAGCCCCGACACGTCTCCCGCTTTTATTTGCTCCTGCTAAAATCCAAAAAGCTTTTTCAGCCTCGAATCGTTAACTCGAACATTTCTGAAGCTCTGTTGTTGGTTTCCTTTCACAACTGTTTGTTTTTACTGGTTTTCAGTCTGAAAATAGATCCCGTGGTTTCAGTAACACAGAAACACAAAAAAATAAGCTTTTTTCAGTTTATTTTTAACAAACTTATCTTGAATTCTATTTAAACACTCAACCCTCCACTTGCTGTTGATGTTAGTCGAGCATTCCGGCAAACGATGACGATAGTGATAGATAAAACTATCACTGACGATTGTTTTTTTTTTCACTTTACCAAGACTTTAGTTTAGAAAATGTCTAAAAATTGTGAAAAATGGCCACGACAAATTCCCAGGAGCCAACAGATCAGAACCAGAGGCCATCATTAGACTCACAATGACATAATCTTACATCTTTAATTGAAAATGCATTATCTATACTGTCCAAATAATGTTCAGTTAACTACTTTGACTACTTATTTCAGTGTTTATCTTGAGAAACACCAGAAAGTCAACATTTAAAGAGCGCATTCGCTTCAAATATGAAGAAAAAAGCGTGCATGTTTTGGATAATTAAACCTTCCACTGGTGCTGTTTTTCTTATTTACTGATTCTGGCTTGCTGTGCATAGTCATTTGCATGTGAAATGTAAGGCTGAAAAACCTCAGGGAATGTTCATTTGTGTGCGCAGCATATAGGAATTGCCACAGTTTGTTTTTTTTATCCTGGAATGCCACATTCATTTTCACCATAAACAACACTGGATGACATTTTTGTTTCTGTACATCTGGGATGGACAAGAAAACTCTCATCAGTACGACAGCAAAAGACTTGAAAATATCTGGTTGCTTGATGAAAACTGAAAGGTAAAAATGTACGGTGAAACATTAAGTACAACTTCTAAGCTGCCAAAGATGAAGGTGCTGGCAGTAAATCTGGTATAACGCAGGTGAATTTAGTCATTAAGAAGCTGTGTTTTGTTGCGTGACTGTTCTCCACTGCAACTGTGGCTGAGCTTCGTTTGATGCAATATTTATTACGGCTGCGATGACTTTTATTATTGAATAATCAACCAGTCGAGCAGATCTACAAAATCCAAAGATATGCACGAGTCAATCATCGTAAATGTAAGACAACCGCTCCTACATCTGTTTTTGAGAAAACGGTCAGGGAACACTTTGACACTTCCTCCTGTTGTTCGCGTATAATCAAACACTCAGCTGTGAGAGGAAACTGCACGAACTGAAAACAACCCAATCGTAGTTCTGCTTTGATCAAACCAACTTCTGCAGTGAAGCCTGCAGGAGGAAAAGCTCGTTAACGGCGTCCAATTCACTCTGGGAGGGAAACCAGTTTTTCGGTGAGTCAAAGTTCCTCTTTTCAAAACTAGAAGACAGAACTTCAGCTGCACAGATCACAGCTAACAAACACTGAAATGTTAAATACACAAATGACCACAGCACATGTCCTGTTTGATCGTCTGCTCCAGTCACCACAGAACACAGAGGCCTGACATCAGCAGACAGCCCTCAGCCCTCAGGACAGCTGACCTCCAGCTTAACATTTATTTTTACAGTTTTCTGTTTGGCCAGTAGAGCGGTACCATCTGTGAGAATGCGTTTCAGCATGCCCACAGCTTTGAAAACTTAATAAATGTGGGGAGTGATTCAGCGTTTTCTCGTCAGAAAAAAGCAAAGCGAGGCGGCACAAGAGGAACCTGCAGCAGTTTTTCGGAAAACAGCACGACAGAAACTGGAAAACCGACAGTCAGCCTTTCCGACCTTCAACTGGTTACAAAAAGCGAGACAAAACTCTCCACAAGTAATGCTCCCCCTGCAAGGCAATAAGCCCAGCGAGGATGAACGATAAGAAAAGAGGAACCAAAGAACGGATGCTTGAGACTGCATGAGAGCCAAATATGAAGACAAACAAGAGGAAGTAAAGAGTGAGGTCTTTAAAGCCTTTAAAAAGGCCAGGAAGGCTGAGAG